CACAGTGGGGATCAAGTTACTAACACATAAAACTTGGAAGACACATCACTGGGCTTCGACATTCATAATTTATTGAAGGCCTAGATGCTTTTTCACATAAATTAACTTTATCCTGACTTATCTAAGTTCTAATGTGATTGTTGGTTTGCTAATTAGACAGGCATTGTTAATATTCTCATTAAGGTATTCATTCAGTCTTTTAAAAAAATTTTATTTATTGAATCAAAATTGATTATACATACTTTTGGGATTGAACATTGAGATATATTGATTAAATCAATATTACTAGCATATATATTGTTATAAATCATAATTATTCTTTATGCCCCTTGTCCAATCTTGCCCCTTACCCCATTCCCTCTCCCTCCCTCTCTAATTGCCTTAGATTTCTTCTCTCCTTCTGAAACAATAATGGTTACTCTGTTAATTCGTTGCCTAGATGATCTGTCCAATGCTGAGAGATGTGATCAGTTCCCCCAATATTATCATAGAGCAGATGCTTCTTCTGTCACTCTGAAATGGGTTTTGTGGAAAGAGACATCCTCTTCTTTTCTTTGTCTCTGCTGGTGACTCTTTTTGTGTGAATGCATCCAGTGGCTGGCAGACCATCTGTGTGGTGGTTGTGGCATCTAGCCACTTTTGTGGCAGCCATGGTTATTGTGATGGCTGTGGTGGGACACCCACGTGGAGGTGCTGTTTTTGGTATGCTCCTGGGCACTGGTGGTATGCCTGGTTGTGAGGTGTGTTTTGTCCCCTTCTCCATGCCTCTGGTCCCTGGGGAGGCCCCAAGGTGCTGGCGCCATGTGCCTGGTTGGGGGTGGGGGTGGCTGGTTCCCTTCTCCATGCCCAGGGTGCCTGGGTGGGCCCCGAGGTGCTGGCACAGTGTGCCTGGTTGAGGGAGGGTGGTCTGGTCCCCTTCTCCATGCCCTGGGTCTCTGGGCAGGCCCCAAGGCACTGGGGCCATGTTCCTGATTGTGGGAGGAGGGTCCAGTCCCCTTCTCCATGCCTCAGGTATCCAGGTGGGCCCCAAGGTGCTGGCGTTTTGTGCATGGTGTGGGAGGAGGGTCTGTCCCATCCCTGGCTCCATCCCTCAGGTCACTGGGTGGGACCTGAGACACTGGCTTGGTGTGCCTGGTTGTGGGAAAGAGGTCCAGACCCCTTTTCCATGCCCTGGGTCCCTGGGTGGGCTCCAAAACACTGGCATGGTGTGTCTGGTTGTGGGAGGGTGGTCCGGTCCCCTTCTCCATGCCCCAGGTCCCTAGGCTGGCCCCAAGGCACTGGCTTGGTGTGCCTGTTTGTGGGAGAGAGGTCCAGTTCCCTTCTCCATGCCTTGGGACCCCAGGTGGGCCCCGAGGTACGGGTACAGTGTGCCTGGTTGTGGGAGGAGGGTCTGGTTCACTTCTCCTGCCTCATGTCCCCTGGTGGGCCCCAAAGTACTGGTGGTGTGCTTGGGCTAGAACTAATTTTTTGTCCCTTGCTTCTAACACGTGGGAACTTCCTATGGGAACCAGTACTTGAGCTGTGTGGTTGTTTAAATTTCTACTTTGCTGCTGTTTCCCTAGGGAAGGCTTTTTGTGCAGCTCAGGGTTTAATGGTTGATTTTATAGGTACTTCCAGCTCTCCAGAGACCCAGTGGATCTGTGTTGTGTAGAAACTCTGATCTGGGCCTGAGTTTTTTCATCCAACTGCACCCCATGCAATTCTGCATTCCTGACCATTCTCCTCTGAGTGGTCCTGTGCTGATTGGTGGGCAGATCAATTGTCCTTGCTGTGCCCCAATGTTCTCCTGGTGTTCCCATCTCGCCCACCGCCCATGCTCCAAACACTTCCCATGGGACAGACCCTGCGCTGGTCCCTTGTGATGACTCACCAGCCACTGAATGGCTCCCTTTTTTCAGTTGTTCTGGCTCCTCATTCCTGCATCGGTCCATGGGAACCCTATTAGTGGTCTTGCTGTCCTGGGGGCTTCCAAGGCCTTCTTTTCTCCTGCCACCTCCAAGTAACTCCATCTGAAGGGCACACCTGCAGCTTCTGCTGGCTCCTGCTCCATGTGCTGAGCAGCTCCAGCCTTAAAGCAGCTGCATCCCGAAATGCTCAGAGCAGCTTTTTCTTTCTCTCGTTGTAGTTTCTCCCACCTTCATGAACTTTGTAAGTCTCTCCTCCTCTTCCTCTGAGCTCCAGAGGCCCCAGCTTGGCTGATGTTACATTTTTATAGTCATAAATTGGTTGATTTGTGGGAGAGAGTGACGCTGGGAACCATCTATTCTGCCATCTTGACTGGAACCCCTCGTTGTATTGGTTGTCCTGCAAATACAAAACAATGTGTCAGGCACTGACAGGGCTGTACAATATAATATGACCCCATTTCTGTCCTCAGAGATTTTGTCTTTTAATAGAAGAGGTGAACTATGCACTCAAGTAATATAAGGTCCAAAGAGATTTAAAAAGATAAAATAAACTTTAAAAAAGAGCAGATAATGTTGTAGAGATTCAGTTGGATTGCATCAGGTGGTGGTGCCAGTTTTATGACTCATGGTCTGAACTCCTTGTCTTTCAATGAATGTGCTACCTAAGTCACTGTTTCATTCAGTTTTATTCTTTCTTTAAAAACTTATTTTATGAAAATAATTAAGTGCAAATATTAAACTAATGCAAGTGTGTTCTTATGTATAAATGTGTATCATACAGTTTACTGCAGGGTATAACCTACTTTAGCTATTCTTAATTTCTATTTAATGTAACTTGATTTCTTTAATCTCAGAGTCCAGTAAAATATAAATTCCTAAATCACCCTGAACCTTTTCTTTCAAATTAAAATACACTACAGGCAATAAACAGGATCAGGCTTCAGAGATGTAGATCATCATTGGTTCTTGAAGGTGTTTATTCTCCAGCCTTAAAGAGATCTCCATAGGAGAATTGCTCACTTGATCCTGGTTTATTTGGATACATTTACCTAGAAATATTTATTTATTTGGGAATATTTCCATGGATTAGAACACATCAGAAGAGGAAGTCAACATATACACTTTTGTCTTAAATATTATGAAATCTGATTAAGTTATGGTCAATATTGGTAGAAGAGAGAAAACAAATAATTTAACAGATTCGTAGAGGTTATTCTGGGATGCATATTCTGTGACATGGTCTTTAGAAAATGCTTTTGTAATTTTTTGATTTACCTTGTTCTAAGGGATTAAAAGAAAAGATTTTTATTTACAATAGATGCAATCTTGGATGCATATTCTGTGACATGGTCTTTAGAAAATGCTTTTGTAATTTTTTGATTTACCTTGTTGTAAGGGATTAAAAAAAAAGATTTTTATTTACAATAGATGCAATCTTTAAATCTCTCTCATAATTTCCCCTGGAACTTAAAACATTTTTGAGTAAATTCTGGCAGAGGTGTGGCTAAAATAAGAAAGAAAGAGATCACAAACTGAAAGATACAGTCTCTTTAATAGAATCTGTTTTAAAATAAAGTCCTTCAGAACTGGCAGCAGGCAAAGTATACTTGGGGGTTCTGTGTTTTCCTTTGACCTTTCATTTTTGTGCCTTACCATCCTCACTTTTATCTCGAATTGGCCATAACTATAATGTTTTTTGTTAATTTTTGTTAATTGGAACATTTTTATCTCCATATTCCATTGCAAGACTTTTCTACCCTGTTTCTTTCAGAGTCTTGTTATCAGATTATGTGAAAATTTTACAGATGTTAGGGATTTGAGATATTACCCTTCCAAATGGACACATTCACCTTTTACAATGACCTTTGATTCTTAAATCCATAGGAATGAGTATTGGTTACCATAGTTAAAGTGGCAGATCAAGAGGAGGTGTAGAAAGGTCTTGGAGTGCCTGTGAAATCTCTCTGGTCATTTCTGAGTTTAAATAGGTCTCATCTCAGATTCCAAATCTTATTAGATTTGTTTCCTAAAGTCTCAATCATTATGTGAAATGTTGGATTCACTGGGAAATAATCTAACAAAATACAAATGATGCCCCCTTTTTAGACATGCTTATTCAGCAACAAAGATTTCATGGTTTGACACAGTTGATTTTAGGGTCTGTGAATTTATATTCTCACTGTTATTAAAGAAAGCACGGAAAACATTTCTATTTCCTGCTACAGTCCTTCCTTCCTGTTCTAGTTAAGAGCAGGAGATGTTAGAAACCATTGTACATCATCTGTCTTTAACTTCCATCAAGAAAAGAATGTTGTTCAGAGATCATCTGGAATTTGTCTGACTTTGATAATGTAGAGCAGAGCAGTCCTAAAAATAAAGACAGGATTGTTGTGTCCCTTAGAAGCAGCCTATTTCATCACTGTTGTTTTTCATATGTAGCCTTGTGCCTTGTATGGTGATTTCTGTTTCTCAGAACAAGCTAAGAGCCATTCTTTCCTGTGCTCCAGGGATGATTGAGTCCAGAGTCTGTGTTTTTGAGAATAATGTTTGGCTCATATACAAGGAGTCTGTGTTCTGCTAGTGTAATGTTGGATGCATGTAAGGAGGATTAGCACCCATGGGTATTGAGCCTGAGAAATGGAATAGAAATGCCACGGTTAAATAGAGTGCTTATTTATTGATATTATATTGAACTTTCTAATAGAAAACATAATAACTTAACATTATTAAACAGAAGATATGATTTCTATCTTGCTGATGGGGAAGGTCAACATAGATTTTACGATGTCAGGAAATTTTAGCTATCTATTTATACCCAAAGCTGCCAGACTTTGAAGCCATACTCACTTTACTTGTGCTTATTTAGGTTTACTCTAACAGAATAAAGATACTATGGTATACAATTTCAGAACATACCCTGAAATACCACACAGAAGTTCCCTAAGAGCTTGGTAGCTGTGTGTATTATAGTTAATAAATTTTCTCTGTTATCTGTTGAAGTAAGGAGAGGACCTCAAGGTTATTAGTAATCTTATAATTCACTTCATATGTTATAATTTGTTCTGTAATTTGGACTTCTTTTTTCGCATTTAGATACTAGCCCAGTCATGCACCGAAATCTTGGAATTGCGGCCCTCGAGTGTATGTGTGGGGGGTAAGTGTTTAGAATTTAAAAATACCATGTAACAAATTGTATTTTTTTCCTAGCTGAAATATATGATTTGAAACTCGTGTTGGAAAGAGAATAGCAAAATTAACTTTTTTGGCATCTTTTTTGTGTAAGAATTTTTAAATAATTCCTTGAAATATTTCTATTTTAAATTCAAATTTTTAAGATTGGAATGTTATTTTAAATAATGAACATATTGTGTGACAGGCTTTTAGAGTCTTCTGTATATTTAGTTCACGTTTGAGACCTTTCTTATGGCAAATAAAATAAAATATGAAATCTTGTCTTTTATCTGATTATACAAGCAGTCAGGTATCTATAGATTTTGAGCTCTATGCTTTGATGACCTGGCCAAGATACAGTACTTGCCAGCTCAGGGCACATAAGGAAGTGACTTATGAGGATGACAGGAAGGAAGCAGGTGGCTTCGTCAGCTGGTGCTAAGAACAGACTCAGGTTTTTACACCTCTTAGCCATCCTTGTCCTGAGAGAGTATGATTCTCTCTGGCCTACTTTATTTCTTCTTCAAGTCTGACCTAGAGTTCATTTCAAGCTGACTTCATTTTTAAAAAGGAAATATATTGAGTCTGGTGGGGGAGGAAATATGTTGTATAATTTACCACAGACTGTTGGAGATGGTCTTATGTTTTAGACTCCCTAATGAATGACTATTGAAAAGTTTGGAAATATATTGAGTCTGGTGGGGGAGGAAATATGTTGTATAATTTACCACAGACTGTTGGACATGGTTTTATGTTTTAGACTCCCTAATGAATGACTATTGAAAAGTTTAAGAGAAATAGTACAGCTGAACATCCCAGAGCAGGATTATCTTTTCTAAAAGCATAGGTTAATAAATTTCTAGAGATAAAGAAAAATAAATAGAAAAATAATATTAAAATGATAGCTATTATTTATTAAATTCCTCTTTTATGCTGGGTACACACTGGGTCCTTTGCTTATGTAATTTTCCCTCGTCCTAATAACAAGACTATTTGATAGTTTTATAATCCCTGGTTTGCAGATGAGGAAACTGAAGCACAAACAGGTTCAGTCCTTCTCACATCCCCGGTAGAGAGGAACAGGATGGCAAGAGTTCATCACACTACTCAGAATGATGAGCAATTTAAAACTTATGAATGATTTATTTCTGAAATTTTCTTTTTAATAACTTCAGACATTTGACCTCAGGTAATTGAAACCATGGAAAGTGAAACCACGGATAAAGGCAGACTACCGTAATGATTGTTCAAACGTATTATCTGAGGTTGGTTCCTCCAGGAGCAGATACTGATGTAAGGCCCCGAGTGCAAGTGGTTTATTTGGGATGTCCCAGAAAGCACCTGCAGGGAATAGTACAGCTGAACATCCCAGAGCAGGATTATCTTTTCTAAAAGCATAGGTTAATAAATTTCTAGAGATAAAGAAAAATAAATAGAAAAATAATATTAAAATGATAGCTATTATTTATTAAATTCCTCTTTTATGCTGGGTACACACTGGGTCCTTTGCTTATGTAATTTTCCCTCGTCCTCATAACAAGACTATTTGATAGTTTTATAATCCCTGGTTTGCAGATGAGGAAACTGAAGCACAAACAGGTTCAGTCCTTGCTAGTAGTAATTGCTTATTAGATCCTTGTCTGACTTACTGTATTGCCCATGTTCCTACTGA